CTGGCACACGTGTGCCAGCGTGGCCAAAGCCTCTCAGGGCTCTGGGCACAGCAGGGGCCACAAGGCCACGGGTCCGGGGGCTGCTCCGGGCCGCTTCCTGCCCGCTGCGCTGCTGTTGGGCTGCCGAGGGTGGCCCTTTGTGACACGGGCGCGTGGGGTCAGGGCCCTCTGTGATGCGGGACACGGTGGTGGCCAGAGACCCTTGTGACATCAGGGAGCCCCAGCCTGGCTGAGGGTATCCAAGGGGCGCAGAGCCCTGGGGTGGCCAAGTCCCAGGAGAGCCACTGCCTGAGGAGGAAGCAGCTCCCTGCGTCTCTCTTCACGGGAAGACGGTGGACTTTACATAGAGTGACATAGAACATGGACAGAGAAAAAGTGAAACCCAACTCCCAGCCCGCCCAAGGCCACTTGTTGAGCCTGCAGAGGAGGCCGAGAGAGAGGGATGAGGCCGGAAGGAGAGGCCAGTGGACGGAGAAGGCCAAGATCTTCTCTGTGCCGAGGGAGCCGTCTCCGTTGCACATGTCCTCATCCTCCTCACCGATGCCCATCAAGCTGCCACCGGTGGACCTCAGGCAACCGAAGGTGGGAACCAAACGTGACCAATTCAAGGCCTCACAGTTGGAGCTCAGGCAGCCACAGGCAGCACCTCAGGGCAGCCGGAGCCGGGCCCTGTCCCTCTGTGGGGACAGGCTGCCACCACTGCCACCGCTGCCATGGCTGCCACCACAGCAGCAGCTTCCACCTCTGCCACAGTTGCCCTACCTGGTGAGTCCCAGGGGCACTCGGAGCCAGGGCACAGAGCTGGGGAGAGCAGGAGAGAAGGGGCCCCAGCCCTGCAGCCCCTGTCCTGGGCAGTCACACACCCCCGTGCCCAGGGTGCTCTTGCCCCCGCTCAGGGTGGCCCAGGAGGGCACAGCCCCTGTGTCCCCGAGCTGGCAGCTGCAGCCTCTGCCACCCATCCCCTCAGGGACTCGAGTCATGGAGCACAGCCTCACAGGCACAGCTCCAGAAAAACAGGAAAACTATGAGCTGTCCCAAGGGGAAAACGACAGTGACCCTGAGCTGTCCCCAGTGACTGAGGACATCGAGCTCTCTCCAGGGGACAGCAAGAGTGACCAGGAGCTCTCCCCAGTGGAGGATGACACTGAGCTCCTTCCAGTGAACAGCACAAGTGATGAGGAGCTGTCCCTGATAGAAGAGGCCATTGAGCTCTGTCCAGGTGACAGCAACAGTGAGACAGGGGTGTCTGAAGAGCAAGAGGCCATCAAGGTGATTCCAGGGGGCAGCATGAGTGACCAGGAGCTGTCCCCAGTGGAAGATGACACTGAGCTCCTTCCAGTGAACAGCACAAGTGATGAGGAGCTGTCCCCGATAGAAGAGGCCATTGAGCTTTGTCCAGGCAACAGTGAGACAGGGGTGTCTGAAGAGCAAAAGGACATCAAGGTTATTGTGGGTGATAGCATGAGTGACCAGGAGCTGTCCTCAGTGCAAGAAGACATCGAGGTGATTCCAGGGGACAGCATGAGTGACCAGGAGCTGTCCTCTGTGCAAGAGGACATCGAGGTTATCCCGGGGGACAGCGTGAGTGACCAGGAGCTGTCCTCGGTGCAAGAGGACATCGAGGTGATTCCAAGGGACAGCATGAGTGACCAGGAGCAGTCCTCAGTGCAAGAGGACATCGAGGTGATTCCAGGGGACAGCATGAGTGACCTGGAGCTGTCCTCGGTACAAGAGGACATCGAGGTTATCTCGGGGGACAGCGTGAGTGACCAGGAGCTGTCCTCTGTGCAAGAGGACATCGAGGTGATTCCAGGGGACAGCATGAGTGACCAGGAGCTGTCTTCGGTGCAAGAGGACATCAAGGTTATTCCAAGGGACAGCATGAGTGACCAGGAGCTGTCCTCAGTGCAAGAGGACATCGAGGTGATTCCAGGGGACAGCATGAGTGACCAGGAGCTGTCTTCGGTGCAAGAGGACATCGAGGTTATCCCGGGGGACAGCATGAGTGACCAGGAGCTGTCCTCGGTGCAAGAGGACATCGAGGTGATTCCAAGGGACAGCATGAGTGACCAGGAGCTGTCCTCGGTGCAAGAGGACATCGAGGTGATTCCAGGGGACAGCATGAGTGACCAGGAGCTGTCCTCTGTGCAAGAGGACATCGAGGTGATTCCAAGGGACAGCATGAGTGACCAGGAGCTGTCTTCGGTGCAAGAGGACATCGAGGTGATTCCAAGGGACAGCATGAGTGACCAGGAGCTGTCCTCAGTGCAAGAGGACATCGAGGTTATCCCGGGGGACAGCATGAGTGACCAGGAGCGGTCCTCAGTGCAAGAGGACATCAAGGTTATTCCGGGGGACAGCATGAGTGACCTGGAGCTGTCCCAAATGTCAGAGGACGTCGATGTCTTTCAAGGGGACAGCATGAGTGGTCAGGAGCTGTCCCCAGTAGAAGAAAGCATTGATGTCATTTCAGGGGACAGCCCAACTGATGAGGAGCTGTCCCCAGTGCCAGAGGACACTGGGAGCAATGCAGGGGACAGCAAGAGTGACAAGGAGCTGTCCCAAGGTCATAACAACGAGGGTGAGAAGGTTTCCCCAGAAGACGTCAAAGATTATTCCCAGCTGTGCTCTGGGGAAGACTGTGGTGTCCAGGACATGTCCCAGAGGAAAGAGGCTGAAAATGCAGAGCTCTCCGATTCGGAAGAATGGGAGGATGAAGTGATGCCAAGGATGGCCCTGCGTGGTGGAATGGAGAGAGGTCCGAGCTCATCACGTGAACTGCCAGGAATGGGGGAAATGTCATGTCATCAGAAGGTGCTAGACTGGCTGGACGCCAATTTCCCTAATGATTATGGAGTCGACGAGGAGGAGGACGAAGAGTACGAAGATTATGGATACGAATTACTGTCCTCCAAAGTGTGGAATCGGTGGAAGGAGCAGGCGGAGGCCCGGTTGGAAGAGGTGTTGTGCTCCATGTCATTCCTCGGTGTCACAGTCGGTGACCTTGTGCTTTCTAAAAGGAAGCGCTGCAGAGAGCAAAAGATGTCCCGAGGGGAAGATGGCACCCAGGCCAAGGTGTGGAATAACCACGTGGGCCTGGTGGATGATGAGGATCCCCTGGAGGGACCCAGCTCCAGGTATGTGGGTGCAGGGCTGGCAGCAGAGGCAGCCCGTGCCCTGCCCGAGCTGGCAGCTGCTAAGAAGAAGCCCCGGCAGCCTCTCGGTGCAGAGGAGCCAGAGGCACAGAGCCGGGTCTCCGAGAAACGTCCCTCCCGCTTCAGGCGGGCGCTGCGGGCGCTGTTCCTCTGCTCCTGCCTGAGGCCACAGCCGGAGGAGTAAAACAGGGCACCGAGAGCAGGAATTGCTCCCACAGCCTCCCTCCTGGCAGGACTGCGGCTCACACGGGGCGGCCAATGCCAACGGGAGTTGGGATACCAACGGGAACAAGACGAGGAGCACAAAGAAGACAAAGACGATGAAGAAGAGGAAGAAGACGATGGAAATGGAGATGATGAAGAAAATTAAGAAGAGGAAGAAGAAGATGATGACTGGCTCCGTTTTGAGACACTTTTAATAGAGGACACTCCACAATGAAGTGCCTTTCCTAAAGGGATCCCCCACCCCCAATAGAAGATGAATACCAATAGGGGGAAATGAAAAAACCCAAACCAACAATTAATCACCCACAGAACTCAGCCTCTGCCCCATCAAGACCCAGGAACAAAGACCCCAAAACGTCTGGAGAATGGGGCAAACATGGAAGAAATCCCCTTCCTGACACGGGGTGCGAGACGGCGCCGGCTTTCACGCTGAGGGAAGTGGAGCTTTCAGGGGGGAGTTCCAGGCAGCAGGAGGCACAGCCCTGGTGGCTCTCTGGCACTGACCTCCTGTCCAGGACAGACCAAGCAGCTCGGCTGGAATCTCTTGCTGCGCTTTCTCCGCCCGGCTCAGCTCCCCGAGGCCCCGGCCTAACCAAAGCACACAGCTCCATGAACGCCTGGGCAGTGAGGCTTGGAAAATGCTCACCCCAAGAGCCCAAAGCTCCCCTTCCCCAGCCCCGCACACACCCGGCCCCGGCGTGGAACGTACAGCAACCATTGCTTGGGCATAAAGCAGAGGTTGTTGGAACGGACTCTGAGCATAAACCACGACAGCGACACAGGAGACAAAGACAAGAAAACAAAGAAGATGAGGACGACAGAGCGGATGGAGAAGACGAAGGCATAAAGAGGTTGAAGAAAAAGAAGATGAAGAAGAAGACAAGACTTAGAGGACTAAGATGAAGAAGAAGAAGACTAAGATGAAGACTAAGAAGACAAAGATTAAAACAAAGAAGACAAAGACGGAGAAGACTTATTTAAGAATACATAGAAGAAAAATAGTAATAAGAATTTAAAAATACTTAGAAGAGTAATAGGAATAAGAATTTTAAAATATATATAAGAAGAAGAAGAGTAATAGGAATAGGAGTAAGAATTTAAAAATATATATAAGAAGCAAAGAAGAAGAAGAGTAATAGGAATAAGAATTTAAAAATATATATAAGAAGCAAAGAAGAAGAGTAGTAAGAAGAGTAGTAAGAAGAAGAGTAGTAAGAAGTAGAAGAGTCGTAAGAAGAAGAGTAGTAAGAAGAAGAGTAGTAAGAAGAAGAAGAGTAGTAAGAAGAATAGGAATTTAGGAATACAAAAATAAAGAGAAAATTTAATCAATAAATAGAAGCAGCAAATAATTTACTTTTGTTACATATTCTGTATTTACTCTATGATATAAAAACATGAATGTAAAATATGTTGTAATTCCGATTCATCGTGTCCCGCTCTGCCGCTGCCCATGGCCAGGGAGCCGGGCTGGGTGCGATCCTCAGCAGCGCTGCCTGCCCTGAGCAGCCTTGGGCAAGGCGGGAGGGGCTCCCCCCGCTGCAGCCCCGGCTGGAACAGCAACAACAACAACAACAACAACAACAACAGCAGCTCTGTGCTGCTCCTGACAGATTCCTGCTGGAGCAGCTGCTCAGGCCTTTGGTGCCCCCAAAGACCCCAAATGAGCGCCCAGGCGGCGCTGGCCCAGCCCCGCAGCCCTGGGGCTGTACTGCTCCTGCTGGGAGAGGAAGATGAGGAAGAGGAAAAATTTAAAAATACATAGATGGAGAATAGTAATTGGAACCTAGAAATACACAGAAGAAGACAAGAAGGAAAAAGAGTAGTAAGAATAAGGGGAATATGAATAATAATTTAAGAATACATAAATGATAAAATTTAATGAATATCGCAAAAGCAGCTCTGATCTCTGCTCCTGGCACAGGGACAGCAGCAGGGAGCGGCTGCAGCTGGCCCAGCAGGGATTTAGGTTGGCTTTTAGGGCAAGGCTCTTCTTTCCCCACAGGCTGCTGGCACTGCCCAGGCTCCCCAGGGAATGGGCACGGCCCCGAGGCTGCCAGAGCTCCAGGAGCATCCAGGGATGCCCAGGCTGGGCTTGTTGGGGGGTCTGGATGGGTTCCTTCCAGCTGAGGATATTCTGTGATTTCATGGAATTTAAGGAGAGTGGGCAGCAGGTGCAGAACAGAAGGGTCTGGCTCAACATAGATCAAATTCCCAAACACTGGTGCTTTTCTGAGCATGTTGGTCCCATCATTTCAGAAGACTTTAAGAACAGGCTGGAGAAATATCTCTCAGGAATAACAATTTTTTAAAGCAGTTAACATTTCTAGTCCCCTCCAGCCCTATGTTTCAACCATTTGGGGACTCTTCATAAGTAATAATTTTGAAAACTTGACCCTGGGGTTAGTTTTACTGGGTTACATCTCCACTAAATGCAGCAGGAATGTGCCATCCAATGGGATCTGCTATTGTAGGTCTGAGCAACAGCAGGAGTTCAGGTGCCCCTTCTACATCCACCTTTCCACCACTGAAAATACTCCCTAAAAACTTCTGAGGTGGAGGGAGAAGCCAGTTTGTAATTCTGAGTCTTTTACTTCGAGAGAAAGAGGAGACATTAACTGCTAAATGAGAAAACCAGCAAAAACCCAGACTGCATCGGCCCATCCATAAATTAAAGAAAAATTGGAGAAATAAAGAAAAGTTTTATTCCATTTCCCTAATCTTTTTTTTGTTTTCTCTTCACTGAACTTCACACAAACAACTAAAACCAGGTATTCCCTTGACTCCACTGGAAAAAACCACCCCCAAACTGCTCTGCAGGAAAAAGCCTGGACAAATGGCTCTCAGAGACCACGTGGAAGAGAGAAAAAATATTTTAAAAATTAGAAAAAAACCAAAAAAACCCCAAACCAACCCCAAACTGCAGCCTGCTGTTAATTGGCGCCACCCAAATGCCGATGTGCGCGGAGGGCAGGCGGTGGTGGTGCAGTGTGTTAAGAGACGTCTGTACCTCTCTTGGTAAATAAATTGTTTAGAGCTCTCAGATTTCCAGCTAAACGGTGATGAAGTTTATCAGAGAGTGTCGGTTCAAAAGAGGAACCGGCAATTACCACTCAATTACAGCCCTTGGAAATCAGACAGCGAGGCACCGTTTGGCACAGCCCCAGGAAAACACTGAGGACAGCGATACTCCTCGGGCTGCTCCTCACAGCCAACAAGAATTTCATTGGAATACCGCGTCCGCTGAGCTCTCGGATGTTGTCGGATCAATTTCCCTCTTTGATTTTCCCTGTGAGGTGTCGGGATGTGACGCTGCTGGCTGGGTTTTTTACCCCCTTGGACTGAGGTTGATGAGGGAGAGGCGGTTTTGTTCTTGATGGTTTATTATTCTCTTATATTTATTACATATACACAGAGTACAAGGAGCTGCGTGCACTAACATAGAAAGGTGCAAAATGGCCAACAGAGAACTTCTTCAAGGTCTTTTATTTGTCTATTTATCCAATTAACAAATGCCAAGTAAATTATTTTTCTTAGTGAACTCAGTGACCCAACACCTGTGTGCTGCACTGCAGCATTTTCTACCCAATCACTCATTATTATCCCAAAACCCTTAAAAGAAGAAGATGAAGAAGGAAGGAGAAAGGGACAACACCCTGAGTCTTCCATCTTGTGTCTTATTTTCTAAACTAGCTTAAACCTTCAACTTTAACTTTTCCACCCGGTGACTTAAGAAAACTCTAATTGACACACTCACATTTTCACTTTCTTTACTTTAGCAGTTGTCTCCATGGTGCTATGTGAAATTCTGTGCTCTCTTGGGTGTCAGAATCAGGCATCAGAGATAAAGGCAGATCTCTGACCCCAACAGCGAGGCTCCAATCCATCCCAGCTATTCCATTATTTACCAGGCCTATACCAGCTTTTATGGGGGATTTAAAGCCTGGGAAAGGGAGGGACTCAACCCCCAGTCACTCCACAGGAGTTTGCCCGGGTCTGAAAATCCTGGTGGGATTTTTGGCTGGAAAAACATAGTTTTTTAGGCAAAAAAAAAAAAAGGATTTCTTCCACCAGCATTGCCTGGGGAGGGGAGTGAGGGCAAACAGCAGTGAGAAAGTGAAGTGGGAGAAATGGGATGAGTTGAATAACCTGGGAGAGTGAAAAGTTTTCCTGCCCATGGCAGGGTGTGGAATTGGATGAGCTTTAAATTCTTCTCCAACCCAAACCATTCCATGATCCCATGAGATGAAAGCACAGCTGTACAAATCAGAGAAATTCCCCATAGAGGAGATGCAGGTGCTTCAACCCAGACCAGGAGAGCTCTTTAACAGGTTTAAACAAATTATCATGTCAGACTTGATGGTGTTTGTCTGATTGTTCCCAATCAGAGAGACTGGGAAATGTCAATGAGACGTGAAAAATGACATCAAGAAAAGATCAAAATAAAATATTTCCTAGAGGGAAGATGAAACAGCTGCCGCTGGTTTTCTCAGAATCTTGCAGAGGAAGAAATCTTCCACGAGAAGATCAGATCAGTGGAAACTGTGAAGCAGAAGTGGAAAACTTTCTGCAGAACCTGAATTTGCTCATCTAGAAGAAGCGGGTATCGTTTCTTGGAAGGCCCCAAGAAATGTCACAGAAACACGAACAAGACCTAAATTTAAATGCACAAATTGATGCTCAGGGTTAATTCATTCCTTTATCAGGGAGGACAGGCATTGGGGTTTGGTGATACAATTACAAGATAACACAAGTGGAACAAGAAAATGTTTTAAAGTGTTCTTATCAAAAGGCTTTGCTTTGGGAAAGTGCTTCTTAGATACTTATCTGACAGATGAAAGCTTCTTGTTTTATATGAAATAATGATTTTCATTTGTTTTATAAGGGGATGAAAGAGGGAATTCTATTCAAAATTAGACATGTTTACAAAAAATTCTTACATTAAACCCCAGGACCATTCCAGTACCTATAAAAGGCTGGAGAGGGACTTTTCCCAAGCTGGAGGAGGGCAGGGCTGGATGGGATCTTGGGCAGGAATTGTTCCCTGGCAGGGTGGGCAGGGGCTGGGATGGAATTGCCAGAGCAGCTGGGGCTGCCCCTGGATCCCTGGCAGTGCCCAAGGCCAGGCTGGACATTGGGAGCAGCTGGGACAGTGGGAGCTGTCCCTGCCATGGCAGGGGTGGCTCTGGATGGGTTTAAGGTTTCTCCCAACCCAAAATGATTCTCTGAACTGGGACAAGTCTGTGAATGACGGCTGGCAGGGAGCAAATTGCAGTAATTGGACTAATAACTGGAATAATCAGCTGAAACTCATGGGATGCAAGGGTCAGGGCTTCTTTTGATGGTACAGGTGATGAATTTGGTGTTCAGGAATTAAAAAAACTTCCTAAATTCCCCAGAAGTTTTTGGCATCCAGCTGCCCCTTCCACCTAATCCTCACCTGTGAGTAGGAGTGTGATCCATCCCATGAAATTTCTGTGGAATAATGAAGGGAATAATTCAGCTGTTTCTCAGTGTTTTAAGAGTAGGAACAAAGCCTGGCAGACAGCAGCAGAGTTTCCTCCCTGTCTCACAGGAGCCAGTTCCTCATCCCCTGTTTTCTCAGAAGCCCACACTGATATCTGAGCTATTTGCAGCTACTTCTGCTCCCAGGCACAGATGTGTGGAGTGCAAGATAAATAAAGGGTGTGAAATAAATCCCCAGTGCTCTGCTGGGGGGTTTTCTTTCCCAACAGGAAGAAATCCTCCTCACTCTGCAGCTCTCACCTCCCTGCGTGCCCCTGG